GTATTGTGCATTGATCAAAAACTCTTCCCACCGTCTAATGTCCTTATATTTTGCACATTCGTTTGTATGTTCTGTTACAATTCATCTTTCAAACTGTGGAAGATAGTTTCATGTCAGTCCTGCTTTGAAGTTGGGAACTTGGGTTAGTTGTCCAATTATGAGATTTTTAGGTTTGTTACAGTGTAGAAGAAACTCTTCCCCAGATGTATCAGCTGTTCTACAATTCAAACCAAGATGTGTTCTTCATGTGAAAAACAGGAAGCTCCTTTAATTAAAGGGAAACTAAATTCATATGGTTGGATGTAATCTTTTGGAAGTAATCTTGTTGATCCCTAAAGACAAATGTGTATGACTTAAAGTATTACAATGTCTGTGTCAGGAAATCAGAAGCATGCATCAAGAAACAATCAACACAGAACACTGCTCTCTCCCAAAACTGAGATTTTGATATCTGGAAATATGCTTAGAAACCAGTGAACATATAAATCCAACAGGCTCATAAAGCTGCCTCTGAAAACCCCAACTACTGTAACAGTGGCTGTTTTATGTGTAAGTTCATTAAGTTTATTAGACAGACTAATAAACTTGTGGATTGCGTTCTCTATTAAATCTATCAAGCAGTAAGTGTGGAGCCCTGCACCGTATCGCATGCAGTAGAGCAGCTACACAAGAAGCAGAACGTGGGATAAATCATAACCAGATTCCATTAGTTCCCCTGTGGAAGTTAATGCCTCCAGTGGAGAACTTTTCATTTGATTTATTATGTCGCCCACCAACTGAGATGGAAGTGAAGAGGACAGGAAATGATGTGCAGTGATGGTAGAGGAGACACGCACGAGAGCTCACCGGTATAGTGCATCAGGTAAAACAGGGACAGATGGGCTCCTCACCGGCCATTTTCTAACCACGGCATTTGATTATCTTGTCAAAAATGCTCTTCCTCTCTGCTAAAGACGGTGGCACAGTGCTGCATGTTTAGGGGTGTAACATCAGAACATATTTGTTGGTTTCGAAGAATTCATAGTGGGAAAATGAGTTGTACGATAATGATTTGTGATTCTGTGTTTTGTTTTTTGGTTTCTTATTTCCTTTGATTTGGACGAAGCTCTAATGATCCTCCAGGTGCTCTCAATGTTTCCTGATTGTCCAGACAGTCAGGACTGTACCAAGTGGGACTCAGGTAGGGAGGAAGCGGTGCCTTCTTTTCTTTGTAGTTTGGTTTTTCTTCCAGCCCGAAGAGTAACTTTTACCTGTAATGTTGTAGAGTTACTAAACATCTTAAAGCTCAGTTGAAAAATCGAGTGTTGCCGACTGACTCGGCATCTTTGATTGTTTTTTTCCCAATGTTGTTGTTAATATGTACAGTAGGTGGTTTTTACCATTACGAATTTTGTCTTTGTCTATGAGTTGTTCTTTTGTTTGAGCCCCGAAACTGAAGCAAATCTTGAAACCATTTCATGAGAATCTATGGGTCAATTGTTTGGCAATTGTATAGTCGAGACTGGAAAATGGTAAAAACGGATGTCTGAACCACTATTGTTCAGCCACATGTTAGCTTACATGCTCATTAACTAGGTTTAGATCCAGGTTTATAGCGATAACGTGGGTCTGGCTGTGTTTCGTTTTTGTAGACAAGTGAATCACTGTGATAGGTTCACTAATTGTTTCTCTTCTGTGGCTCATCAACAGCTTTGTCTGCCCTCTGTTGTTTTTTTTACCTTTACCTATCCCCCCCCCCCCTTTGTTCCACTATGTGCTGAAGCTTTTATGTTGCATCTGCAGCATGAGATCAAGCATCGCCGAGGTCCTCCCATTATGGAAATAAGCCTCTCATGCACTCCATCTCGTCTTTCAGCCCCGGTCACTCGGCATTACAGAGCAGAGAGCGACGCAAACCCCATCGGCACGCAGCACTGTTCTTGTACAGTAATGCATGGATTACAGCTGATGGCTTCAGACGCTGAGAAGGAGGTGCAAGGAGATTTCTCTCCAGCTGTTTTGACACATAGCGTGACTCTGGCAGAATTCCTCACCTTGCAGTGGTGGCTAAACCACTCGTTTAATCTCCCAGAGTGAGCTGTTGAAAGTGAAGGGCGCTGCCTATTCCTCTTTAGCATTAATCAGATCTGCCCTTTGTAGCCCAGCAGCTAATAGACAATCCCGTTATTCACGTCTCTGCCTTTTTTTGTTTTTCTACACTGTCGTGGGCTTACGGAAGTGTCAGCCACAAGCATACACTGGCTGCACAGATGGAATGCACATAATGTAAAATCAGATCAGCTGCCCTGATGAGAATAGTCTGGATTTATATCTAGAAACAATATGTGCAGCACAGTAATCAGTTGGAGGTTGGAAAATGACAAGCTGCTTGTCTCCTTGATATTTCAAGAATCATTATCAAGCAATCGTCAAACGGCTAAAGAAGTCTTTTTTTGCTTTTGATTTGATTTATTTTAAAGAGGGCTTTGTTTTGTGCTCTGGGAAATTGGGATTTTATGCTATTTTCTGACATTTTATAGTAAAAATATTTGGTTTCAACCCCACCAAATCTTTAAATCCCAATTTTCAGAAAATATTTAGAAGGAAGAAAATAAGTCATTGGAAAGCTAAGAAACACGCAAACCACAGAAGGGATTTTCTTGGCCAAAACATGTGAGCTTTACTGGTTTTTCAGCTTTATAGCAAATAGATGGATTTCCTTGTTCAGCTCATCGTGTTTCTCACAGTCTTAGCTGCACAGGAAAGAGCAAACCCCTAAAAGAAGCGGTGACCTATAAGGAACTCTTACAGCAGTGGTGATAGTGTATTAGCATGCTACAGTTAAGCCTGTGATCTTACCAAGTGCATACATGTGCTGGTGACACGGCGAGCATCACGGGAGGGCCCGCCCTGACCTTGGCCTGCGCATTTATCGTCAGCGTGACAAATGCGTAACATCTGCAGTGCTAACAAGGGGCATGTTGTGTGTGTGCATGTGTGCCAAGAGATGAAGCAAGAGAGGAGCATTGCATGCGCAGCACCCTGCCAACGCCATAAGCCTTGCCACCTGCAAATTGTGTAACAGGGATGTTGCGTGACTGTATTTCCGAGCTGCGATGTCTCATCATTTTTGGAACAAACCGTTTCACTTACTGTACGACAGTAGTTCCCTGTAATCAAGTCTAATGTCAGATGTTACACCTACGTGTTTAGCTCATCGCACTCATTAAGTTAATTTACGGCTGAAGCTCTGTCGTGGGGATAGTAAAGGATACGCCTCATCTCTATTTTGCTCTCGCCCACCTCTTTCCATTCTTCTTCTCCACCAATGATGGGCGTGCAGTCGGGGCCCAATGAAAAACCTGTGTGGCTCTAGTGGTCTATCCTGACATTTTAATTTGAGAGGTGTAAATCAGGCTCTATTGTCAGGGAGAAGGGTAATTATTTCCTCCTGTCTCAGCTACCAGCGACCCCCCCCCCCCTCTTTTCCTCCCCCGGGCACACACACACACTCCCTTTCATTTCTTTCCTGAGCTGTGATTTTAGCAATGAGCTCTAATTCACCTCAAAGCCTAAAGAGCTAAATTGTGAAATCCTTCACATCCTGGCTCATGCCTGCAGTGAAGTGACACTCGGGAGCAACACAATTGCATCCATTCATGAAAATGCAAACCTTGCATAGTTTCCCTCAGTATGGATATAGTTAAATCAAATGCATGTTGCTAACCTATCCAAGTCTTTCTAGACTCCTGACTCCTCTGGTTTGGGCTTGTGTTGAAGCTACCAATCTGTCCTAGGATAAGCGTTTGTGTTGATGGAGTGCTTGGCATGGTTTTAGACCCTCTACATAGCATTTTTTAAGTCCCTGTGCTGGGCAAGATTCCCCCAATGAGCCCATAAAAAGTGATGTGTGAAGTGTGTGTTAACTGTAAGTTTTTCCTTCTCTACAAGTTGGGGGTTCGTGGGCTGTTTTGAAACAGAGCGTGCTACTCTCACCAAACGCATATCCTCATTTAAAAAAAAAAAAATGTATGATTGACCACATCGGATGAAGAATGTCCTATGTTAGTACTTTACTTCACTACCTATTATGATGATGCAATCCATCATTTCTGTGGCAACATTACTCAAAAGAGTGGCTACCATGGGTGTAGACCTTTTTAGAGCTGGATTCACACCAAGTAAGGCGTTGAGGCAAAAACAACAGTCCTGCCATTCATTTGGATGAGGGTAGTGCGTTTAGGCTGTGGTGATCACCACAGCGGATGCCAAAAGAAAAAGAAAAATGCAGCGGCCCTTCCACGGCAAAAATTTGAAACATAATCAACTTTTGGAGAAACGCAACCCGACGTCACGCTAATCACGTAACCGCCGATCAGATCGAAAGACAACCACAGGAAGAAGGACATTGGCGTTATACCGTGTTAAATGGTTATTCTTCTTGCGGGGTCAAAGATCACACAACATCACGCCACACAAAAGGATAATTTAAATGACACTCTCACACCGCCGCAACGCCTGATTTGGTACGAATGAAGCCAAACTATTTCCAGTACGACACTCCGCGTCTGAGTTATAATTTCTTCTGAAAGTGTGACGTGACCTGGTGTCATCAAATACTTATGAACCGATTCATAATTGTGGAAACACTGATATTTAATATGCAGACGGAAAAAAAGGCAAATGTCTGTTTTGATTCATATCGTGGAGGGAAAATGTGATATTTGTTCTCACGGCTAAATTGAAAGCAGCTTCAGTTCCGAATGTGTCTGACCTTTTCCGGCTTCGCCCTCTCTCCGTGTAAGGTACGAGTCCTCCACTTCTCTGATGTGTTGAGCTGTACAGGTTAAAGTTTGCTGTCTGGTTAATAAAGGGAGGAGAGGGGGAAGATCGTGGAAGGGAGGGGTGAGGAGGAGGAGGAGGAGGAGGAGACGGGGTAAGGGGGAGGGGGACTTCAGTGGAGAGTGTGTAATAGGACACCAGCCCTCTCTGTCTTTTCACTCTCCTCCCTCTCTCCTCTCCTCTCTCCTGTGCTCTCTCCTGTCCTCTCTCAGTCAAGCCTTCTCTGTGAGCTCTTAGATGGAATAGCAGCATTTTCCCTCTTTGGTGTCACTGGTGGAAACTGGAAGGCGTTTTAAAGGGGGATAACTAAGATCTGGTTTGATACCCGGCTTGTTCAAGTGGGACCAGCACTGGAGGAAGCTCCTGAAAGGTGAGTTCCTGGAGCAGGGACTGATCCGGGTCCCGTCTCTGTAGGGTCTACCTGCTGTACTGCCCCAGACTGTAGTGGAGCAGATCACACAATGGATGCAGAGAGGAGGCGGTGGGCAGGAGGCTAACAGGTGCAGAGTCCCACCAGGGACAAAAGCTGGAAGTAAACTCAATCGTTCGAGTCAACTTGCTGCTCCTTCTAAATCTTGCGTAGTATTACATCAGACTACTGTGGCGTGGTTTATTTCATTCACACGCTTTAGGTGTCCTGTCTCTTTTAGATACAGTATACATTTCAAAGACATGAGTCATGACTTTGTTGAAATTGCCGTATTACCCTGAAGCTGATCGAATTGAGTGTTTTTAAATGGTTATTTGGTTTGGTTAGTATTTCTGTATAACTTTATTAAACCAGAAAAGGTTTCTGGTTTTCTTCAACAAACCTTTCTTTATTATTATTTCAAGAAAGAACCTCGTATATGACACTGTCCAGAATCACAGGGTCTGAATGCTGCTGTTTACACGACTCATGTGTTATTTAATCGGTACGTCCAAAGTTTAAATACTTGAAATGAACACATTTTGCTGTTCATAGCTGTGCCTGCGAGTCATGTGCGTGAAGGAACGTGTGGTTGTAACCGAGCCGCTGACAACTGAATGACAGGGTGTGGTATGAACACACACCGTCCTGTTAGAGCCGGGACAGACGGAGCAACTTGCAAGTTGTTTACCATTTCAATTTCAATTCTTGTTCTCCGGTCAGGGAAAAAGAAAAAATAGAGCAAAAATACTAAATAATTAAATCTATCAAATGTAAACCCAGATGGGAGGACTTTCTTCCTCAATTCCTCGTAGTTAAATAGCATGTGTTTAAAGCGTTAACAGGACCAGATGGGAGCCAAACAATCACAGACCCAGTTTGGAAAAATGTTCTTGTACAGCTAGAATGTTCTTGTTCTGCTTTCATCAATATTAGTTTTTGAGCAGTGCCTCTGAAATAGTGAGATGGAAAATTCATTAGGCCGTCAGCCAAGGAACGCCCAATAAACACAATTATCATTACACCCCACTGGAAATATAACTCTCCGCTCGCTCGGCCTGACCTCCTTTTGTGGAGACGTTTAATTGCCGTCACAGAGATTCCTGGCAGACTCGGCACTGGAATCTCTGGACGTTGAAGAGCTCAACATAATTAATTGAAGTATTTATTAATTTTTATTCATGGCAACAAACACTAATGCACTCTTTTTATTGGGAGGCCCATTAATCCAGGCGAGCGTTTACGGTGCTCCACAAGTGCGAGCGAGGCTGTTTGGTGAGCTCATTCATGTCTCATGTGATGATGATCAAAGGAGGAAGGGAAGGGAAGGAAGTGTCTTAACCTGACCTGCTGGGATGTCATAGGACGATCGGAAGGAGACAAACTCCCCCGACGATGAGTTTAGCAGCTGTGAGACCAACATTTCCAAACCAGAGGCTCTCCCTGCAGATCACCCATCTCTCTGAGCACGCAGGGAGGGGAAGGTGTGGACGTTAAAGGGTCGATTCGCTTAAACAATTATTCTCACTTAGTGGTAACTCAACCCTAACGGCAGATAAGAATGCCTGTGTCGGACGATTCTGTCAAACCACAGATTCCATTCAGTGGCAGGATTCTTATGTCCAGTGCTTTTTAAAATTCTGGCTCTCAAGAATTTCTGCATATGGGAACTACAGTGGTGTTTAAGTTAGGGAAAGATAATAGTTATGGCAGGAAGTTCAAATTTAGACAAAAAAAACCATTTGGTTAACGTTGGGGAGACATTGTGGTTTAGGCTAATAAAAAGGCATTTGTTAATTGGTCTGTGACGGAGTCTCCTGCATAAGATTTTCTACCTCCCGAAGCTCCACACCCAGAAAAGACGTAATACTTCCTGCGTTGGCACTGAACAATATCAGGATGTGGAATTACACAATATCACATACTGGGGCTGGGTATCTTGTTATTTTCTTCCCTCGCTCCAAATACAAATTGAATTTTGTTGGTTTTCACACTTACAAAATGTCCCCATTACGGTATATAATCCACAGACATCCGCAGTATACATTGAAACTATGTTCGCCCTTTTTCTCAAAGCTGAGAACTTTGACTTAAATCACAAAAAGGAGGAAATCAAAAACATCGGCCTCAAGTTTGGAGCCGGTTTAGTCCTGAGGATCGTGCAAAGGCACATAGATTGAAAATTGCCTCAGTTATTTACACAGATTCGAAAGGAAAAATTGTTTTTATAGTCAAGATTCAGAGACTTGAAAGTCTTGCAGTTGAATTGTTGTTTTCTTAATGAGACTTTTACTCACACACTGCCAATTCCATTTACCTACATTGTATTGCGATTGAGGCAGAAATTTCAGACTGGCCAAGTCAAACCAAAACTGTTTGCATGGCACCTCTACAGGTAAGAGATAAACACTGTATATGTTTTTTTTATAATTTGGGTGCACCAAGCTTTATAAGAGTGACAGGACAAGGGTCAGAGCTGTCCCCCTGCAGGCTGAAGTTGTGGGAGACACCCAAGCTAGGGCAGGCTCTGGGGGAGGGAGGGAGGGAGGGAGGGAGTGGGTGGGTGATGCAGCAGGAGAGGGGCTGCAGCACAGCGACCGGGGCTGACTGTGAGCCCCCACGCTGTTTTATTTCTCTCCAGTGCAGCCAAAGAGATCTCATTCCTCTGCAGCTTTGCATCTGTTGTCCTTATGCACCTGTGCGGTGGAACTCCACCTCGACTTCGTATCAGTCACGCTTCATTCCACCGCACATATTTCAACCTATTTGTTCACTACACCCCAAACTGAAATTTTCATAGCAATCAGGCATCTACCAGCTATCAATTTTTCATTGCACATCTATAAGCCATGAGAGCAGAGATCCACCCACTTGTGTTTTCTTTTCTGCACGTAAGATGGACATTCTCTTTATCTAGTGCAATGTGTTTTTAGCACACAGATATAGTGTAACATCCAGTTTTGGTGGTTAAAACGGCCAAGTCTTTCTCACAGCAGCAGAGTTTTGCATTGCAGGAGTTTGTGTCCCGCAGCCAGTACAGTACCTGCCTCTATCAATAATTGAGCTGCTCTTGTCCCGTTATGAAAAGGGAACAAGACGAGGCTAAGGGGAGCGTTTCCCCAGCAGCTCTTTTGTGCAGATTTAACTCATCCATATTTAAGAGATGTACATCTGCAAGGATACAGTAAGTGATGGGATTTAACTGACATGTTGTGCTCTCACTCATGTCTTCATTCATCGTAGTTTGTGTTGCGCTTCATTTTATAAGTCAGTGTTTCCGGACCTGTCAGACTGATGATTTAAATATCGCAAGTGTGTATTCTGTGTGTTATTTCTGTTCTCTTTCTAAATGTATTATCCTCAGAGCAACTCATAGTATTGTATTTAAAATATGTAAAGACATCAGAAACCACTGCATCCCGGCAAGCATTGATTTGGTGATTTGCATCAAAAACCATTGAGATTTGAATGTGATATGTTTTTTTTGGTGTAAAATGAACAAGCTATAACACGGGCGCATTGCTTCATGTTATCACCACCAAGCTAAAGGCAGACTGCTGTTCCAGTGATGACGTTTAGTCGTCTAATCTACCCACTTGTCACCAACTTCCTGTCAGCAACATATAAAAGCTTCAAAATTCACCAGAGGGGTATTTACTGAAGTATTTTATGTCATAGAACAAAACGGTAAAAATCTCTTAAGCTTCCAAATATAAAGAAAAACTCAAAATCTTCTTCTTTTTCAAACACCAACAGGCAGTGGCGAGTGGTCGGGGTTCCTGCAGCCATGGGCAGGCCGGAGGGGTCGGCCAGGCCACCTCTGCTGTTAGCTTTGGCGCTCCTGGCTCTCTCTCTCGTCTCCACGGGGGTCTCCAGCCTCCCACAGCCGCTGCCAAGAGTCTTCCTCTCCTTTGAAGGTAAGAAGAAATAACAAGCATGCCCCCCCCCCCTCCCGAAGTTAAACCTTGGAACTTGTGTTTCAATTCAATATGCTTTATTGGCATGCAGACGTAATGAGGTTGCGCTGATGTCATGTGTTCAGTGCGCTAATGCTGAACAAATGGTTGATAATAGAGACTAGCTCAGGGCTGTAGCATACAGCTTAACTAGACTGTGCAGATCTCATGCAACTACGCTGTTGTTTTGGATCATATTCATCTTTGATAATGTTTCAATCGCACACTTCCGGCCTTGAAGCTCCATTTGTGGACAATCCCTGTCCATCCATTGACCTGCTGTGTGTCAGACCTCTGCAGGAGGCGGCACTGCTCATCAGACGTACCATGAATCTCTTGAACTTTAATCACTCTCCTCCATGCTGCAGCCTTGTGGGCATTGCTGCTGCCTCTATTTTGTTTTATTTAATTTCCTTGACATAGATTATTGTATGAATTTTTGATGCTCCCTTGAAATGAGAGGCTAGTTCAGCTTTGTGTGTGTGTGTGTGTGTATGCTCGCGTGAGTGAGTGCAGATGAGCTGACCGATCACTCACGGCCCCCGAGCTATGAGCGGCGCAGTAACCTTTCCGCGGTGGCTGGATACTGTGCAGGGGCTGAAGGAGATGTTTGATCACCTTTCACTACCTCTCGCTGTGGATTAGGTAGCACAGAGCAGCTGAGGCTGTCCATCAGCACGGTCTCTACACTCGGACTGAGTTAATACAGCCGTACAGTGTGAGGCCAAAGCAGGTGTTTTGTTTTCTTTCTCTCTCTCTCGGGCTAAATTTGCCTCACTTGTGCCACATCTTTTCCCAATTTGGTCTCATTCTTTCCTCACATCTTTCACTCTCATTCCTTCTCTGTCTTTCTTTCCTTTCGTGCTTTCTGGTTTCACTTATTGTTGTTCCATTCCAAATATCTGAACCAGCTTTCAGTCTATTTCTGCTCTGCGTATTTTCTGAGTTAAATATGGCAGTCAGGTTAAAAAAAAAAACGGAATACGGGGGGGAAACGTCACAATCACTATCTTTTGACCACTCAAGTAACATTATTCATTCGCCCCTCAAACCTCCAGTGTTTCCAAATAGCCGGCTTAAAATGTCAGAGGTGACATGAGCTAATCCCTGTAATCCTGCAGCGCTCGATTCCCTCTCAGAGTGCGGATTAGATGTGATTTGTGTTGTCACTTTAGTTGTGTCCATCGCAAGGAGGACCATAAATGGAGAGTTTTGACTTTGCATTGCACCAATTCTTTAAGAGGCTCTGGACTTTATTCTTAATGTTTATCTGTGTGCATTCCCTGTGCTATAATTTACCCTGGGATATACTAAGGAGGACGTTTGTTCAAAGCTAGGCAGCCAACCTTAGGTGTGAATTTACATTCCAGCTTTGATTTAGCACCTGAGCTTAAAACAACAGAGTCCTAAGAGTAGATGCACCTTTTGTTTTTTTACAAGAAATCATTTTGTACAAAGGAGGATGAGGTTCATAACTCCCTCTCAGCTGCAGGGGTAAGCACCAGATGTAGGGAGACTCTTATGGCTGAAGTTGGAGGCTCCTTTCTCACATAAACACTGGAAGCCCTCACAGAGGGGAGACATTTAGGGAGTTTGGGCTCCATCCAAAGCGGCCAGACAGCTAAATGAAGAGTCGTAGAAGAAGACCAGAGGAGAGGTGTCTCGGAGGGGAAGAAGGCGCAGGTGGTTTGGCACCTGATTGGTGGCCAAAAGGTTAGTCTGGATTCTTCTGCTCCCAGATGTGAAGATCTGTTAATGATTGTAAGCTGGAACAAACTGAATCAGGAAAATAAACCAGTGAGTGAGGTGTTCAGGTTGTACAGAGATATGGACGATTGGATGTCTTCCCCCTTTTTCCTCCTCGTGTCACCCCTGAAATCCAATCCAGGGGTGAGGCAAGTTCACGGGACTCCCAGCGTTGACTCGGGTCCTGCGGAGAAGTTGCTGTCTCTGACATTCCTCTCTCCCTCAGCCTGCTTACTCGTGTGTTCCTCAGGCAAACACACCAGACCACAATTAAAACCGCATAATAAATAGGGAAAAATGCAGCTAACCCAAATAATAAACCCTCAAGCGGAGCTATTCTCTTCCGTGCCTCAGATAATAAACACAGGCCCCCTTCCATACAGAATACCTATTTAGGGATACCCAGTGTGATTAAAGATACAGTGATTACTCCTCTACATTTGCTTTAAATATCTCCTGTCCTCTCAATGTTTATTTTGGTTGCTTTGCTCAAGTGTTAGGTATCAGAAAACGTATTGTTTTGTATCGGTACCGCTGGCATCGTATTGGCACTAATGATCAAAATGGTCTCGCTAAATAACACTGATCATGAGTTGTGTCAACACGTTTCCTCTCCCAACTTGTCAAACACCAACACTTAGTCAGTTTCCCTATACGCTTCAAACTATGAGGATTTCGGTACCTATAGCGTCAGTTAGGGAGTCAAGGACTGTGACAGTTTCCGCTCGTGACTTCAAATCGTATACTTTTCAAAGTAGGGAAGTTATTAATGTACCGTTTAAGAAGTTGTTCTTTTCATTATCTGTGAACTGTAAGAAGAGTTTATAGAAACACAGCAGGTTTGATATGTTGCTACTGTATCAGAGGTTGGCCCTGCTGTTGCCAAAATGCCATTCCAGGAATGGTGGGATGAAAAATTCGGCCTCATTTCCCCCTCTAGTTGGCAGCTTGTGTAGTGGTCTGATTCTATAGGATCAGGATCATTCATTAACCTCATCAGCGGTCTCGCTCTGTTCTGGCAAAACTCCAGTATTCAATACAGTGTTAACTAAGAACCCATGAAAGATGTTTATTTGAAAGTGAACGGGCCTGCGCATGCTTTCGTGTGGATAATGTAGATTTTGCACGCATGTTTGGCAGAGAGCCCGGTTGAGACGTAGGGCAGATTGATTAAGATGATGTCTGAAGGTTAATGAGCGCTCCCTCACACCGGTACGAGCCACATGGGCTTCAGTCACAGCCTCAACAGAACCAGGTTTGGAGATCAGGAACCAGGCATCAGACACACCAGATCCCACTGCCTCCACAGATTACTCCTCGCTTTTATCATGCCTCATTGCCACCTCCTCTCGTCCCCCCCATTATTCATACAGCAATGAGTCGGCTCACGCATTGTAGGTAGATGTCGGTCTGTGGAGGATGTTTACTTGGTGGTGAGGGTTCGCAGGGGCGAGTGTGCGTGGCTCCTTTGGAGAAAGAGTAAGTGCCTGGATGTGCATTCCTTAGACTTTATTGGATTTCTGTGGCAAAAATTTCTGCTGAATCATTGTTTAAAAACTGTGTGGTTTCTCAGCTTTGCAAGTTATGAAAGGATATTTAGCGAAGTGGATACCTTAAATACTAGAAGCCCAAGGACTATTTTGAGGCTTTCATCAGTCTAAACAGTACTGTGTTTTCTGAATCCATTCGAGAGAAGATCAGCCTGAGCGCTCTGAGCCTGCATTACAGTAACCTCTTGTAAAGAAGGCTAATGTGTCAGATTTAAATCCAATATGAGTTGAAGGAAGTATAATGTGAGGCTCAGGGACTTCTTTTGCCTGAGGTGTAAAGGGATAGCTCAGATTGTTATAAGTGGGGTTGTTTGATGTGCTTAACCATAGTCGGTGTATTTCGAGCAGTATAGCGGGCAACAGGCCCCCAGCTTCAAAAAACTGAATAAAGTACCAGCACAGGACTAAAGCAAATATACTCCTGCGGACTGGGGCAGCAGTAAAACGCATTTTAGACTACACTTAAAGAAAGTTTAAGTGTAGTCTATATTTAGAATACTTGCTGATGGAGAACTGAAAGGGAAACTTATTTATACTGGTTTTGTTAATAGAGTCTTCTGGCTTTGATGAGAGTTTCCATTTCAGTTCAGTTCCCCTATGGAAAGTGCTGTCTGACAGCAAGATATAGCGGTGAAAATGTTCTATATATAGCGTACACTTACTGATATTGACTTTTTTTTTTTTTTTTGGTGAGCTAAAGTAAGTTTTGTTGCTGCTCCCATACAAACTGGTGGCGTGCCGACCGCCATCTACTGCAAGTATAGAGTGCTGTAGGGAGGACGTATTTTGGTAGGCCAACCCGAATGTTCTCCGCACTGGTTATTGCAGAAAATAAACTCTGAAGAAAACACAAGTTTATGAGATTTATTGATCAGCAAGATAATCTTCACAAATTAGCACCAACTTGGTTTTTTTTTAAGCGTAAATACAATCAGCAGCAGTAAAAAGTTAGACGATAAAGAAACAACACCGTGGTCACGTAACTTCTTGTCACCACCGCTAAACTCTGTTTGGCAGGATGACGTTCAGTAGTCTCATTGTAGCAAAATTCTGTAGAACAAGAAGTAAAGTCTCTTAAATTTGAGTTAAACACAACCCTTAATTCAGGCATCTAACAAAAAACATTGACTTTAAAACGAGGGAACCGTAAGTGTAAAACTGCTGACTCATTTTCTGGTTTTAGGACTCATTCAACTATGGATAAGTACCTCATGCAACCCCACTTCAAATAATCCCATGATATGCTTATGATAAATCATCTCACTATTTTAAGGACATTATGGAAATTCCTTCACCGGCCAGTTAAATGAACATCGTGCTCATCCAGCGACGCAGACACCAGATTTGGCAGGATGACTGCATGTGTCGTCTCTTGGGGTCAACAAAAAGTCAAAATGTCAAAGATCAATGCTGACAAGTAGCCAGAAGCAGGCCGGGATGTGTATGTCTGTGCCTAAAGGTTCATCCTTTGCTAATGTAGGACAGCTTCCTGTCTCTGTTTCACATTAGACCTGCACATTACCATCTCCACTTCCCTGTGGTGAACATAATAAAGCCTGTGAAGGGAAATCAGCGATGCTCTGTGATTATAGTGAATGTCTGGCGGGGCAAAGCATAGGCCTGTCCAATCTGTCGGCAACAGAGGCATGCTACAAATAGCTATAG